TGCCCTCTAATACAAAAGTGCAATAATTGGATTAAATTACTTTTAGTGTCTTTTCTGGCCCTAAAAAAAAATCTATAATCAACTGTGTTGAAGCCTCATAGACTTAGAACTCTCATCACATCAGGTCAGAGGATAGAAGACAATGTATGTATGGTGATGCATAGGACACTGAATGGTTGATACAATGAGTACCATCAAGGAGATGACGAAGGAAAAAAGCACTATTTCAAGGGATATTTTGGGCATTCTCTGTTGGAGAGGAATTGTGGTCCCTGATGTCAGAGGCTTGTGGAAACCAATTTTAAGACTACCTTGTTCATTTTAGCTGCCTATTAAATTCCCTGTGGAGAATGGCTACTTCTAGGTGATAAAACCTTGGCTTTTTTTGGAGGGGAAGAAGGGGGTCTGACCTAAATTATCAGAGGCAGAATACAGGTATCCTCTGGCACTGACTCTCAGTATTACAGTGCCACTCTCCTTCTCACTACTGATGACTTCTCACTACTTCTCTGACTCTGATCATGTCTCTTGCAGTTGAGACACCGGATGCCTATTGGATTGTGCCAGAATTGCTCTCTTCCTCCCCTAATATTTATCACTTTGTCATCCCTGACTCTGAATTCCAGAGATCAAGACTAACTGGGGTCCAGCAGAGGGGCAATAAATCATTGTTTCCACTTCCTTTTCTCCAGGTTTTGTGTCCCATAATGATTATATAACCACTGCTGAAATTGCTTCTTTGCGTTGTGTGTGCTGGGGACAAAAGTCCTCATTGATTGGATTTGTGCAAAAGCTGCTTTGTCTCCCTCTAGCCATTATGTTTTGTAGAGTACCATGTGTGCTACCCGTCAATTCCTCTTTTCTCCTGTGAGTTTATAGAGTATAGTTGTCAGGTGATCTATCAACAGAGCTTTTCTAAGCTCTCGGGTAGAGGGTGGAGTGAGCAGCCCTTAAATAACTGACCAAAGTGATCTTCATTAATGAGAGAGGTTTGGTCTGGGTTAGTTTTGTATGAATTTTAGCTAGTCCCCCTCATTATCTGAGCTCCTGGTAGGAGCTTAGCAGGTTGTGTGATCCAGAATGGCCTCCCATGGAGCTTTTTCTCTGTCCAGTCCAACAGATCACTTGTTAACAGACCATATCAAAAGGGCCAGCTGCCTATCATTTGTCTTTCCATTATGAAACCTCAAAGAATTTGAGTTGGGTCAGGAGTGAAGGGTTCACAAATGAGGATGTCTACCTCCCTCGTTCCTAGCAAGGCTCTTGTGCTATTTGAAGGGAAGATTCAGGCTTTAGAAACAGAATGTAGACAGGCTCTTGTACTTTTTCTTGCCTGCTGCTTCTTTAGTGAACCTGTGCTTTTAGAGGATTTGAGAGTGAGGGATGTTGTGTGGCAGGCAGCAAGTGTTCAGAGAGTTTTACTCCTACTCATTGTTCCCTGCTATTTCAAATCAAAGCCCATGTCTGTTTTCTAAGAGTAGTAAACTTCACACAAAGCTCAGACAGCATGGGAGAATGGACTTCTTTGCTGGCAAAGAAGCAGATATGGTCTTAGAAAAGGAGAGGTCAAGCCTTTTTTTGTGTCTATGGAAGTGAGGATGGTTGAGGAAGAGAAGACAGGAGGACCACCGATTGCTTGTAGCTGCCGAACCCCTTATTCTTTTTTTTTTCCCTGAACCCTTTCTTTATAGCTTCCCATCAACTAGGTCTGCTAAGACAGGGCCAGTAATCACGAGGGGCACAGAAGCAGGATTAATTTCACAGCCCTTGGTGAAAGAGTACAAGACAGTGGATAATTTCTTTTACACTTAATATTTATTTATTTATTTATCTTTAATGTTGAATGTATTACAGATGTTCCTCATTTTTCCCCCAGTGACCCCCTCCTCCTCACTCCCGCCCCCCTCCCACCTCCCTTCCGCTTTTTCCCACACTGATGTCTGTGTCCATTGGTTATACATATAAGTTCTTTGGTTTATTTCTTCCAACCCCTCTACCCCCTTCCCTTTGAGGTTTGTCAGTCTAGCAACCAATTTGTACTTCTTAATCCCTTCACCTTTTTCACCCATTCCCCCAACCCCCCTCCCATCTGGCAACCAACAAAGTGTTCTCTGTATCTATGAGAATGTTTCTGTTCTGCCTGTTCATTTTGTTTGTAGATTCAATTGTCGATAGATATGTATTCATTGCCATTTTGTTTGTTCATATATTTTATCTTTTTCTTTCATCATTTCATATAATAACGGTTTGGTGGTGATGAACTCCTTTAACTTTTTCTTGTCTGGGAAACTCTTATTTATTTATTTATTTTATTTTATTTTTTTTATCCTCACCCGAGGACATTTTTTCATTTTTTTATTCAGATAGAGTGGGAGGGAGGGAGGGAGGGGGAGGGGGAGAGAGAGAGAGAGAGAGAGAGAGAAACATTGATGTGAAATAGGCACATTTAGTGGTTGCCACCCACACAACCCAACCAGGGCTGGGGACAAACTGCAACTGAGGTACATGCCCTTAGCGGGAACTGAACCCGGGTCTCTCTGGACCACAGGCCGACGCTCTAACCACTGACCAAAACCGGCCAGGGCTGAGAAACTCTTTATGGCCATCGATTCTAAATAACAGCTTTGCGGGTAGAATAATCTTGGTTGTAGGTTCTTGCTTTTCATCACTCTGAATATTTCTTGCTACTCCCTTCTGGCCTGCAAAGTTTCTTTTGAGAAATCAGCTCACCGTCTTATGGGGCTCCCTTGTAGGCAACTAAATGCTTTTCTCTTGCTGCTTTTAAGATTCTCTCTTTGTCTTGAACCTTTTGCATTTTGATGATGATGTGTCTTGGTGTGGGCCTCTTGGGGTTCATCTTGTTTGGGACTCTCTGTGCTTCCTGGACTTGTATGTCTGTTTCCTTCACCAAGTTAGGGAAGTTTTCTGCCATTATTGTTTCAGATAGGTTTTCGATTTCTTGTTCTCTCTCTTCTCCTTCTGTCACCCCCAAGATGTGACTGTTTGCCCGCTTGAAGTTGTCCCAGAGGCTCCTTACGCCATCCTCATTTTTTTGGATTCTTTTTTCTTTTTGCTGTTGTGATTGGGTGTTTTTTGCTTCCTTATATTCCAAATCAATGGTTTGCTTCTTGGCTTTACCTACTCTACTATTGAATCTGTGTAAATTATTCTTTATTTCAGTTAGTGCCTCCTTTATTTCTGACTGTGCATCCATAATTTCTGACTGGTCCTTTTTTATGCTCTTGAGGCCCTCACTAAGTTCGCTGAGGTTCTCACTAAGTTCATTGAGCATCCTTATAAGCAGTATTTTGAACTCAGCATCTGTTAGGTTGCTTATCTCTATTTCACTTAGTTCTTTTCCTGGGGTTTTGTTCTGTTCTTTCATTTGGGACCTGTTTCTTTGTCTCCTCATTTTGGTTGCCTCCCTGTGTTTGTTTCTATGTATTATTTAACAAGAGGTATGGGGCTATCTGAGACCAGATGCGGCTTGTTTGAAAGAATTTAGGAAAAACCTGAAGCAGGATCCAAGACAGGCCAATCCTATGGTTAAGCAACTGGCAACAGCTTGGGTGGGCCTGAAAGTTGGGTGGGGCGGGGCCTCAGGGAATCACTAGGGCGGGGCTACCAGTGTGAGCCAGGTTGCTGGAGTCCCAGATATGGTAGCTGTCTGCCCCCCCAGGGAAGGGCTCACCAAAGGAACAAAGGCCTCTGATAGCACAGTCTGTCCTGGAGAAAGCCCCCACTCCAGCCCTCGCTCCAATGCCAAACAGATAAGTTCTTCCCTGTATGTCTGGCGCCCCTCGAGCTGCCTCCTTTACAAGCTTAGAGGGAATGAGTCTGATAAGCCCTTTAAGAGGAGCTGCCTGGGGCTCCAGCCACCTCAGCCTCCCTGAGCCTCAGTTCCTGCTGGTTTACCAACCAAAAATTATAGGGACTTCTCTTCCTGGCACTGGAACCCTAAGTGGAACGTCTGGTGTGGGACAGGGACCCCTCAGTCCTCAGGGAGGACCTTCCCAGCTGAGGTGTCCTCCTGATTTTTATGCGCCACACATGGGTGTGCGACCGGCCCCTCTGCCTCCGCCCCTCCTACCAGTCTCCATGTGGCTGCTTCTTTAATTCTGTAGTTGTAGGACTTCCATTAGGCTTGATTTCAGGTGGTTTTGAATAATGGTTGTTCTGTAGTTTAGTTGTAGCTTTGATGTGGTTGTGGGAGGACGCAATACCGCATTTACCTACGCCACCATCTTGACTGGAAGTCTCGAGGGCATTTCTTAATATTTATTTGTAAAATGTCTTTAAAGCTGCACTGCTAACGTAGGGACTTGGCCATCTCTACTGAGATTGCTTGGGTTTTGTCAATCTCTCCCCTCAATAAGGAGTGCCAGGCAGAAAGAGGACCTTTTTGGTAAATGTTGTCAAGGTTGAGAAAGGACAATAGTTAGAACAGTTAAGGGCTTTTTTTTCTTCCCTTTATGAGCTCTCTTCCTGTCCTGAGCTGAAGTCCAGGTGTAAGTTCTACACATCTGGTAACCAGTTAGAATTGAAAAATATCCCTCTTAGCAGTGATGTTTGAAACAGATACATAACTAAAACTTGGTGACATGAAATGCTGGCAGTCTAGTGTGAGAGGGGGACCCTCATTTTGACTTGTAAATTGAGCAAATTTGATGAGGAAATCACCATGTGGGAGTAAATTTGGAATACTTAAGATGTGTTTTATAGTCAAATTTCTGAGCTTAATTGTTACTTAAGAAGTGGCAAAAAGGAGTAGATTTTTTAAAACCTTCTTTGGGCATATAGACATGTGCTTGGGAAGGTCAATACTTTCTTCAAATATACCCACCTTACCTGCTTTTGAAAAGTGCTTAGTAGCTGTGATTTACTCATTCTAGTCCTATTTGGATTTCTGTAGAGCTAGCTGATTTCATTGCTTTCATTTAACTTTATTGATTATGCTTTGAATAGCTTGTTGATGTCTTTTTTGTTTGTTTGTTTTTAAGCCTTGATAAATTTGCTGAAGTTCCTTATGTCAAATGAGACCGTACTTTTGGCCAAACACAACATTTTTACGTTAGCACTTATGGTGAGTAACCAAAAAAATATTTCTTTTTCTGAAAATATACCTTAACTAAGGCAGAGATGGGCTGGTTTGAAACGGGAGCTGGGTTCTGGAGACTAAGCCATAGGGGAACCAGGACTTTATTTTTCTTTTGGACCAGAATCTCCATATTGGTGCTCACTGTTGTCACCTACGTCTTTGGCGAACCTGGGACTCTTTCTCTCTTTTTTAAAAAAAATCCTCACCCAGGGATATGTTTTTATTGTTTTGAGAAAGAGAGGATGGAATAGGGAGGGAGGGAGAGAAAGAGAGAGACACTTCAATAGGAGAGAGACATTGATCAGTTGCCTCCCATATGTGCTCTGACCGGGAATCTAAACCGCAAACTGGGTGTGCCCTGCCCCGGAAACAAATTTGTGACCCTTTGTTCCAACCAACTGAGCACTGACCGGGGCAGGACTCTTTCTCTTTCATGAGAGTATGTTGTCTGGTAGGGGCAGGTATAGGTCAGATCTCTGTGTATGAGTAGAGCCTTGGTCCCAGTTGAGAGACTGTACAACACTGCTATAGTATCCATGTCGGTACAAAGCAAAGCCTAGTCTAGAGGTATCCCAGCCAGATGAGTGGTTCCATCATGGCTTCACTTGGTTTCTGAGGGACATTGTTGATCCTGGCTTATCTGACTGGTTATTTGGGGTAGTAGGAGTGCATTGTGCCTTTTTACTATATTCTTAGGATATTACCCAGGGTGTTCATAAATATTTAACATTTTTGGGGAAAAGTCCTGATTTACATCTTTTGTTGATTTCCATGGTAAAACTACACCCACCATGGCCAATTCCAAAGTTATTAAAATGACACCATTGAATGCGGAGTTGGGAAAAGATGAGCAGTAACAAACACATCATTACATGATATTCCCACTACACCAGATGTAAGAGATGTAAATTAATCTCAAGAGCATAGATGATACTAAAAGATAGAAAGTAATTAGGAAGTGGTGAGTTTTTAGTATTTATTACCTTCATTTGAAAATAATTTGCTGAATTGTTAAGTTTATATAAATTATTTTTTAATAATGGCTATTTTTTTTTTTAATTTTTATTTTATTTTATTTATTTATTTATTTTATCCTCACCTGAGGACATTTTTCCATTTTTTACTCAGATAGAGTGGGAAGGAGAGAGAGGAAGAGAGAGAAACATCGATGTGAAAGGGACACATCGAGTGGCCGCCACCCACACGACCCAACCAGGGCCGGGGACAAACTGCAGCCAAGGTACATGCCCTTAGCGGGAACCGAACCCGGGTCTCTGTGGACCGCGGGCTGATGCTCTAACCGCTGAGCCAAACCGGCCAGGGCAATAATGGCTATTTTTTTAATCCTTACCTGAGGATATGTTTTTGTTTATCGTCAGACAGAGTAGGAGGGAGGGAGAGAGAGAGAAACATCAATGTGAGACATCGACTAGCTGCCTCCCGCATGACCCGACCAGGACCGGGGACGAACTGCAACCGAGGTGCATACCCTTTACTAGAATCAAACCCGTGACTCACTGGTCCGCGGGCCGATGCTCTTACCACTGAGCCAAACTGGCCAGGGCAATAATGTTTTTTTTTTAACAACCAGCTCACAAAATTCCTGAAAATTTTACATCTAGCAAGCCAATAAGAACTGACTGCAGTATATGACTGATAATACCTTTCCAGTCTTCATAGTGTTAATACCTGTATATGGGCTTTTGCATCTTTTTTAGATTGTGAACCTATTTAATATGTTTATCACATATGGTGACACATTCCTGCCCACCCCCAGCAGCTATGATGAACTGTACTATGAGATTATCCGTATGCACCAGAGCTTTGACAACCTATACTCCATGGGTAAGCTGTCTTTTATTTTTACTCCTTTCTCCCCTTTTCTTTTTGCTCCTCTCTCTGCATCAGCTATGATTTTTAGTATAAAGAGGAAAAGACTACAGAAGATTCTGTAGTTGCTTAGTGCCCTTGCTTGGCATAGAAATACAGTAGTCTCTTCTCAGGCAATGGAAAGAATATGTGGACTTTTTTTTGCCTCAGGAACTCAGAATTCATCTCAGTAGAAAGCTGGTTAGCAGCCCTGTAGCCTCTTTCTTGATGTTTTTGAGAGAATAGGGAGGCTTGTGGATTTAGTGAATGCAGTGAAATGGGAGTGAAAGAGTGGGTGGGAATTGACAGCGGCAAATAGAAGAGCTTGGATCCCAAAGGAAGAACATTGTGTGATTTGAGAAGGTGCAGGATTTTAAGGCGTTTTAATATACCATGTATTTTTAGCATAACTTACAAGAGGAAGTGGTCATTAGATAGAAATCTTTTTTGCAAACCTTTTGGTGATTGGCTTACTGAAAATTTACTCTTTGGCTATAGTGAGTATAACTATAGGATGTGGCAAAGTAGGTTTACAGTTTGTATGGAAAGTAGTACAATAATTAATAAATAATAGTACAAGAATAAACTCTGTTTCATGTACTCACAACTGTAAACCTTCTTTTGCCTCACCCTGTATTTCTTTTTTCTTTCTTTGTTGATTTTTAAAGAGAGAGGAAGGGAGAGGGAGAGAGAGAAACATCAATGTGAGAGAGGAACACTGATTGGCTGCCTCTTGCATGGTCCCCACTGGGGATCTAGTCCACAGCCAGGGCATGTGCCCTGGCATTCTGGGTGACCTCTTGGTCCATGGATCAATGCTCAACCACTGAGCCACCAGTCAGGCCCACCCTGTATTTCTGAAAGAGGTCACGTGTCACGTATCCTTGTAAATTTGAGTAGAGTAGTCAAATCTGCCTGGAGTTTGAAAGGTCAGGAAAGATTTCTATAGATTGCACAGAAACAGAAATTCATTAGTAAAGCTGTCTATTAAAGTCCCCAATTTATTAGCTTTATTGAGGTGTAATTGGTATATAATGAACTACAGTCATTTAAAGTAGTATACAATTTTTGATAAGTTTTGACATGTATATGTACGTTAAGCTATCACATGCATATATATTCCAGGCTTCAGCATACATTAAAAGATGAATAAAGATGTCCTTCAAGGAAAAAAGAGAGTTGAAGTGGGGGAGATATTTAATAGAAACCTGTCATACCTGCTTAACCGGGCCATATGCAATGTCAAATAAGATAAGCCCTTGTAGCTATAGCAACAAGAGAGGATATCTGGGAATTCTCAAATCTGCCAAGGGAATTAAAATGTTAACCTGGAGCCTGGTGGTGTGGTTCAGTGGTTGAATGTCAACAGGATGTTACAGAGAAATAATCCATGGACTGAGTAAAATACCTATTTGAGGTAAGGACCGGAAAATTCAGTTCAATTCTCTGTTTAGGTTTGCACCATCAGAGAACTTATGATGAAAAAACAAACACATCTAGTTTTCACAACTGAGTTGAAAAAATTAGTTCTGACCTGCTGAAACAGTTTTGTTTTATACTTGAATACATTTCGGTATTCAAGTACACTGGATGAAACCTGAGTTCAGACTGTAGAGCTCTGACTTGGAACTATACCAAGTTCCTCTGCACTAAATCTTATAAATTAGAAAAGCAGCACTTTGATAATATGTTTTATTAAGGCTTCTATCTTCTCTATTATAAAATTGCATGAATTTATAAAAATGATATTGCTAGAACAGATGGAGAGCAACCACATGAGTTTTCTTTCCGTATTACAGCCATAGGCCCTCCCTCTGATAGAGCTGCCACTACTACTGTTCTTGGTAGAGGAATACTGATCAGGAGCAGATACTGATGATACTCAGATATAAAGTTCCTATGCAAATTGGTTACACATTTCTCAATGTTAGTTAAGCTCCATTTTCCTTCCTTAGGGAAAGTCTAAGGTTCATTCATTCATTTGTTTAGGAGGCAGTCTATTTAAATTAATACTAGCTAATACTTATATAGCATTTATTATATGTCAGGCACTAATCTAAGGCTTAATATATATTAACTTATTTAATTTTCACAGTAATCCATTCATATAAGTGTTGCTGTTTATTCTCTAGTAAGTGACAGGGGTTGGACTTGGACCCTGACAGTTGGCTTCAGAGTTCATGCTCTTAACCACTCACTCTATAAATATAGACTCTAGAGTCATTCCCTCCAGGTTCAAATTTCAGCTCCATTACTTATAACTATGTGAATGACCTTGATCAGTTACTTGTCTCTTCTGGCAGTTTTCTCATCTGTATGCTATATTACATATAACACAACTTTGTCCAGTTCCTGGCACATAGTAAACTCACTACATATTTAGCTCTTATTATCTATTCATTCATTAAAAGCATATACTTGGAGTACCCACCATGTGCTTGTTCTTTCAAGGAGCATTGCTGGCTTGTCTCTTTTTTAAAATGGTATGGATATTATAATGTTTGGTCCTATAGCTTATAGCTGGAAGAGAATGTTCTATATTTCTGTCATCTCTCCTCCTGTGGGTAAGTGTAGAAAAGAGATAGGATTTAGTCAGAGAAGAGAAGAATATTCCTGTTGATTCACATTGCAGGTCACACAATTAAGTCATGGGAGCTAAAACTGGATACTTCTTGATTAAAACATAACCATCATCTATCTGGCAAGCTTATTTGTCCTGTTCAACTCAGCTTAGACCTTTAGGAGAAAGATATATATGGAGCAGGAGAGGACTGTTAACTCAGTTGACCAATAACACTACATCAGCCCTGGCCTTTAGGGAAATGATAAATGTGGCAGCCAGTTTATCTTCATATCACCGACCCAGTATAGATTATAAACGAATGCAAAAACTAAGTGTGGAAACCTTTTAGCAGGGAGTGGAGGGGGACAGGGAACCCAAGGCAGAGAAATGGTTTGATAGAAAGTGAAAATAGTTGAAAATAAGCCCTTATATTTTCCTCTAGGACAGTGATTCTCAACCTTTTTCATCTCACAGCGCACATAAACTAATTACTGAAATTCGGAGGCATACTAAAAAATATATTATTTTTTTGCCGATCTAACAAAAAAGAAGTATAGTTTTGATTCATTCACACCAGACAGCTGTTGTTGTTTTGGCTGTTGTCATTTTTTCATTTGACAATCTAAGGGAAAAGAGGTCAGTGCTCCTGACTAAAGAGGTATTGCATGTTTTAAAATTTCTTGCAGCACACTGGTTGAAAATCGCTGTTGTAGGATGAGGTCATTTTAAACAGAAGATTGGCACAGGCTCTGTTTGGTTATTGTAATAGTGCTATTCTGACGTATATCTTCATCTTCATATTTGTGTTTTATACCAGGGGTCTGACAGATCTTTGTTCTTTCCTTCTGTATAGTCCTGAGGCTTTCTACCAATGCAGGCCAGTGGAAAGAAGCTGCTAGCAAGGTGACCCATGCATTGGTTAATATCAGGTAAGGAATGAGATTTTCTCTCTTTCAGAGTTTCTTGGCTCATCTTGAGGTTTGTTGTACTTTTCCAAGTACAGTGTGTTGAACACCACTACTATTTTAAGCCCCGATGTCTGTAGGAGTGGAAGAAATTGGCATACTTGATCAAGAAAAGCAGGAGTGCATGAAACTTTCATTTTGTCATATTCAAAAAGCTCACAGTGCTGTTCTATGAATTTTCTTATCCAGCGATGGTTGCAAGGCCTTTTCAGGTATCTTTATTGCCAAAGTATTTTTTGTGTATAGGCCATCTGAAAGCTTTTCTCTGAATATTTTTTCTGCCATTCAGTTCAAAGAATGACTCATGGGAATCTAGAACTTTGACATTTTGCTTTACATGGTTATTTCTGTTTGTGGTAAACAGGCAAATAGGCTCTGCTGGTGTGGCTCAGTGGTTTAAGGTGTCATCCTTTGGGCTGAAAGGTCCCAGTTTGATTCCTGGTCAAGACACATCTCAGGCTCCATCCCCTATAAGGGGCATACAGGAGGCAGCTGATGCCGATGATTCTCTCTCACATCGATGTTTCTCTCTCTCCCTTCCTCTTGCTCTCTCTAAAAAAATCAATAAAAACATAAAAAGAACAACAAAAGAAAGAGGCAAATGGAGCTTGTGGGGCTGTCATTTTAGGTTCCTTATGAAACAGCAAGACATTTACAGAATGCTGTAGGTATTGGATAAAACTGAGTCATACATGGAGTTGGTTTAGGGTCTTAAGGAAATACCACACATTCACTGGAGTGAGCTGTTTGTAAATGGAGAGAGTGTGCTTTCAGCATTAGGAAACCTAAAGCTGACTTTTCTTATATTCCTTGCTCCCTTTGTGCCTATCATTTTCTATTTTCGCAACAGTTATTAAATTGTTCTTTCAGACAGTTGAAAAATTAACATTGAGTGGATGAGGCAAACCCAACAGATGGGGAAACTTGATTTAGCTCCAGATGTAAGCCTTGCCAGACATTCCCAGTAATAGTAGTATACATTTACAACTTAGTATAGTCTAATGTGTGACAGAGCTGGGAGTCAATGTTTGTTTCCATATCTTTTTTTTTTAAGTAAAATGTCCTGTCCCTGTAGTGATTTACTGTAGTGTTTGACACATCTGGGAACAAAAGGAAAAGTGTGAAATGTGTGTTGGGAGGGCTAGGATGAGGGAGCATGAGGGTGAGATGTGCTAACAAGATTGCACTGAAGGTTGATCTGCCTTACCTGACCCTAGAGGCATTTTGTAGCAAACACAGTTTTATAAATATCACAAATAAATATATATCTGCACCTAGCAAATAAACCAGATACGGTAGTGAGGTCCTATGATAAATGTGATTTTCTGTAAGAATCGGGAATAACAAAGTGCCTTATTCCAAATGTCCCTTTGTGACCCAAGGGCAGTATGAAAAATGTGGGTATTTGAAAGAAGCACTAGATTCTGGGTTAGGGTATGAAGTGCATATGGGAATAATTTATATTGTATTTATTTATTCATGTATTTACTTAGGCTTTCCAGGCAGCTCCTTTTCACCTGGGGCCTGTTTCCTTGATCACATCCCTTTATGCTTGCTTTATCTCCTACTTTGTTGCTTTTCCTTTCAGTGGCTTCTGGCTTGGCTGCTGTCCTTATTCTTTTCAAGGGCCATCAAACAACTGATTTAAGATCTTGGCCTGTCCTTTTTCTGAATAGACCAGAAAAGTCTGGGCCAAGTTTTTAGCAGATACCCATAACCAGGACTTCTCTTTGCAAGTCTTTTTTAGTCCTATACTCCATTTTCATTCCTAAAACTTTTTTGATGAATTTGCTGCAGAGAATAATTATTACATCATCTCTACTGCTGCTAATATATTAGACTCAGAGTATGTGTCAAGCGTATCAAAGATGCAGTCAGTTTTCTCAGGAGATTCCTGGAAAGATGTGTTTGAATGTCACTTATCACACTAAGGCCAGATCAGGGGGAAATATTGGTGATGCTAAGCCAGTAAAAGCTTACTTCTTTTTTTCTGACATTTATTTTCACTTAATAAGTTCTGAACTTTGTTCTGCTCTTTCATATACTGTCTTCTTAAATCAAACTCTAAAAAGTAGACTGTGTTATAAACTTTTTAAAAACACACTTTACCAATGAGGAAACTGAGTCTTAAAGATATTGTGAATGGCAGAAAGTCCCACAATTGTTGTGTGGCAAAGCTGAGAATTAATCATAGGTCTTCTAACTCCTAAGTCCAAGGCTCTTTTCTCTATACCATAATGCCTCCTTCCGTAGAGTTGCATCAAAGTCTTCCATGGAGGTAAACAGAAAACTCAGCATGATGTATTGAAAGGAATATGAAAATTTGAGTTAGAGAAACTGGATTTTTTTGTTTTTGTCTTTTAATGTATGACCTTGAGCAAATGATTTAGCTTCTCTGGACCTCTTTCCATTACCTGTAAAATGGAGGTCCTAACAATATCAACTGTTTCACAGGGAAATGGTTGTGAGAATTACATGATATAATGTATGTGAAAGCACTTAGTAAACTATAAAATACTGGTAATTCTACTTGGCCTGATGTCTTTAAGGTTTATTTCTGTTGTAGCATGTGTCAGAATTTCCTTCCTTGTTAGGCTGACTGATATTCCATTGTGTGTGTATATGCCACATTTTGTTTATTCATTCATCCATTGATGAAACCCCAAGTGAGTTGCTTCTACCTTTTGGTTATTGTGATTTTGGTTATTTGTGCATGGATGTACAAACATCTGTTCAGTCCCTACTTTTACTTCTTTTGGGCATATACTGAGCAGTAGAATTGGTGGATCATATGGTAATTATTTGTTTAATTTTTTTGAGTAATTGCCATACTATTTTTCAGGTTTAGCTTTTTGAGCCTTCCTTAGAATATTTCCTAAGAATGTCTTCATTTGTCCTTTCTATAAAAGTTAAGATGTTACCCTTAGCCTTAAAAGATATTTTGCTTGATTTTGATGCTTTGTATAAGGGTGGTCCAGGGAGTTTTCTTTTCTCAGCGTTAGTGTTTTCTCAGCTGAGGGCAAAAAAGTGGTATGCCTAAGAAGTCTGTGTTCCACTGAGACAGCATTAATAAGTGCTGCATTTTTATACTCCTTTGCTTTTTTCTAAGAGCTTGTGTTGTACATCCATGACACTATTAAATTTGGATGATTTAGAAAACAGGAGACTGTGTCAGAAAATTGGTCCTCTGGGTCTCCCAGGAATACTGTGAGATATTTAACTATTGGCCACCAAGTTGATTATCAAGGACAGAGTATATAAAGGCTTAGCAGTAAAATTGTGATGGTATGCAACATTCACTTCTGTTGTTTATAAAGATATTTGTGCTGATCCGACACCTGGAAAGGATTTCTAAGGCAGAGCAAACAAACTCTTATACAATTCTCCTGTAGTATGTTCCTTGATAGCCATGGGAAGAGATTGGGTTGCATATGAAACTTTCAGACACCTAACAGCTGGGAGGGCCTCTGAGAATGATTTGCCAGGTGATGATGGCTACAAATTATGCCTTTGGGATCTTCTGGAATGCAGTACATCTAATGGCAACCCTAACAAAGTATCTCGCCAGCATGTAAAAGGCAGCAGAAAGGCTGCAGACCTTTTTTCAGTCCTTTGGGGTTTAGATTGTGATAGTGAAAATTAAAAGTACTCACACATGTTGGGGTCCTAAATTTGCTCAAGTGTCAGACTGTTTGCTTTTCACTTGTCTTTCCTGGCTTAGTCATGCTAGCTCTTTAATTGTCAAAGGTATTTGTATTTAAACAATTTGTCTCTCTCTTCCTGCTTGATCCTTCAGAGATATTTTTAAAATGCAACTGCTTAGAAACTGCTATTTTTGTTGGAACACCTGATGTCATTAACATACAGGGCCCTATATTTGTTCCTCCCCATAGAAGGGTTGTTCCATTGCTTTACCATAAGAAAAATAAAATATAGCTCCACCTTTAAAATTCCACTTGATAGAATTGTTACTGCAGCTGCCTTCACAGATCTACTAGTTCACAAAGGAAGAATATTGAGGGGTGGGGTGGGGCGCATGTGCAGGGATAGAAGGAGAAAGTATTTGGGAAGTTTTGCTTGGAGACTCTATGCTAAATATATCTTGCCATTACTTAGCAGGCTCTTCCAGTGAGGTCCTTGTAGATGTCTGCTAACTGTTAAACTAATGAGTCAAAAATGAAAAAGAAAAATGTTAGACTAAAATCTGACCTTTATCTAATCAAACTACTTTCAAGGTAAGTAATTTGAAGTCCTTATTGAATCTCTTTAGGTTAACATCTTAATGCTTTTCACTTAATGAGCATTTTATTAGTACCAGATTCACAATCCTATTCTCTGGTTGCTCATAGAAGTGGTGGCTGAATCACTGCAAATATTTCTTTTTCCTGATCTGTAATTACTTAAGTCGGATAAAATTTGAACTCTATGATTAATATATTAATTTTTCTCTTTATTTGGAATGCTTTAAACCTAAGTTTAATTTTTCTTCTAGAATGACTTTTTGGATGTAGCTATGGTTAGTGGCAAGCCTAGAGTTTGAAATGAAACTTTAGTGCATTTCTTTGTAAATCTCTTAAGCGTTCACCTAGATGAATTTGCCTCTTGTCCCCCTGCTTGCTCCATGGTCTCTTTATTCCAATGCTAAGGTTGTCCACCCCACCCCATTCCTGCTTATTTGCTTTTGTAGCTATTTCCCTTTACCCTAAAAAAATATTCCCTCAAAAAAAAGGAGAAGAAGAAAAGCTTTAAATGTGCACTGTGCTGGGGAGGCAAAGGAACAAAAATAGCTCTCAGCAGCCTTGAGATAAGGGGGTTCATTGAATTTAACACCTTTTGGAGCAGGTTGTGCATAGAGTTCTGAATGTCACAGAATAAAAGACCTCAGGCAGTAATCAAAGAGAGTACACCCACTGTTGATGGCCACAGAATGAAGGTTGGAAAGGGAATGTGAGGTCTCAGTCACT